AGAAATTTGTATTTCATATCAACACAAATACGTGGGTTTCCTTCAGTTCTTTTTTCCCCACACCCTTTTTTTCCACCCGACATATCTATTTAAACATATTTTTAAAAGGGAAGTGTATTCCTTACTCCTGAGCTGTTCAAGCAATTAATATTCATCTACTTCTCACAAGGTGGCTGGTACCAGTGATCATTAGAGAGCTTTGTGGTGTTTTCCTGAGCCCTTCTTGTGTTGGCTGGTGGAAGGATAACCTGATGCTTTCGGGGATGCTACCTGGAGCAATGGGGAAGGGGAGGGAAGTCTGACCCTTTGGGCAGGGGTCTTGTAAATAAAGTCTGGTGTTGCTGAGTGGCCTCTCCAGCTGCCTCAGTGTGTATTTGGGGGTTCCCCTGTTTTTATTTGTAACTGTTTCTGAAATAAGCATTGCAAGCTCGGTATTTTTGCCAGAGACCTTTTTTTATTGCTTTATAGAACTGTTTCCAGCAGAAAGACAGGTCATGGATTAGTTACATGACTTTAGCATATGGCTTAAATTATATAGCATATGATACAAATTTTAACACTTTACAACTCTGTTGAGTTTTGAGAAATCAGGGTCTTCGGGAGGTTCTGAGTTTGTCCTATAAAATAATCAGATGAACAGAGAGCTTTAGCTATTTATATACAATGAGTGATAGAGAATGAGAACTGGTTGGGATGTTTTAACTCTTTAGGACACACTGAGCTTAGTACTGCTGTAACACAGGGGCTTTCCATAGAGTACTACCTTACCCAGTACAGTCTGTTTTCATATGCTGTGGCTTGATGCCCATACTGGCATGGACAACCTGGCTGAGGTGCTGTGTGTCCTCCTTGCACTCCTTCTCTGCTTTTTCACTGGAACTGTCCTCTTTGGAGCATTAATAACATTATCCTGAGAAGGTGCTGAACTCCCTGGTCTGCCCTCGAGGCTAGAGCTGTAAAAACAGCACTTTCAAGCAAGGGGACAACAGGTTGTGCTGCTGAGATGTGTTAACACTGTTGTCAATAGAATTCATGACTTGATCAACCTTGTTCACTGAGGAAGGAATCATTTCTCAGTCCCTGGATCAGATGTGGGAGCTGTAAGTAAGTCTAACCTGTAGAGTAATGATTTCCACCATGACTTCATGTGAAAAACATCTCTAGTTTATGACTGTAGAATGGAGTCACTTGTGCCTTGCCTTTTCCTATGTTGCAAATGTTCGTTTTGTTCGTTGCATTAACATCAAGCCATTTGTTCTGTTCAGAATGGCATGTGCACCAGGTATCAAAGTCACCAAAGGGTACAATAAACAAAGAGATTTTGCTTCTTCATGTCATGTTCATCCCGTATTTACCCTATGGTGAGAGCTCTGTTAGCACAGGAAACTGCTTAATGCTATCTCTGTGTTTGTTTTCCATTGTGCTTAGTGTGGTAGTTACCTGTTTATTTCTGCTGAGAAGGATTAATAGGCATTTTTCAATTGTGAATGATGCACACAAGCGTTATTTAATCTGTTTTCTTCAGACCTATAGTGTGTTAGTCAGTCTTGAGCAAAAGCATCTTGTTCAGGAAACAACATTTGTAGTAGTGGTACTGTGGCTGTTCTAGGGCAGTTTCAGGATGCTTTTCCATCTGGCTGTTAATACTCACCATGCAGCAAGCTTGTGGCCAGCAGCATCACAGCTTTGTGTTTGTGCCTGACATTCCTGTGCTTGAGAAGCTGCCATTCGTGGTGTTTCTTCTGTGCTAGGGTCTTGAAGGAAGAGGGGGAAACGCATGACTCTTCTCTTACAGGAAAAGAAAAACTTTGCCCAGCTTTGGCAGGTGTTTGTTGGGTGAAGCAAAAGTGCCAAGACCCAGTTGCAGTTGTATGATCTTTCTCTTACTCTGTAGCCAAGGCATCAGCAGAAACATGGCATGTAAAATCAATCTGGAGAATTCATTGCTGTTTTGCTTTGGGATATATTCATAAGATAATAAAAATACACTGCTGTAACACATATTATATAACAAAGAAAGATAAAAGCAGTTTGCAGAAGGATATAAGCTCAAGCTTCATGACATGGAATCATAAAGCAGGTCAGAAGGACACTTCTTATTCTGGAGATTTTTGTCCTTTTTTTTCCTTCAGCTATTTTTTGCCCTTCCTTTCTTTTGAGTATCAGCTGTTGGCAGAGACAGGATTCTTGTATGGGTGAATCTGTGATCTCTACCAGCATGGTAGCTGCAGGCCAGTTAAACCAGAGTCATACAGCAACAGGGATAGAACTTGACATTTTGGGTTTCAGAAACCTCCTTTTCTCTGTGAACACAGCCAGAAAAAGGATACAGAGACGTGCAATAAAAAGAGAGAGGATATTCAAGGTGGGTTTTTTGGTTTGTTTTTTTTTTTTAAGAATTTGAAGAAGAAAAAGATATAAGAAAACTTTTTTTCTGAAATCTGAACCCTTCCACAAAATGAGAAAACTTCTAGGTGCTTTTCTAATGGTCTTGCTAAGATCCTGAAGCAGTTGTAGTGAAGTGTGAGGGAACCATGTGAGAGTATAAGGAAAAAAGAGAGAAAGCATCCGAAAGGAAAATAAAGCTATATCCCATACAGGTCTGAACTAACATCTCTGCAAGTGATACTTGTTTGAATGTGATTTTTTAAGGAAACATGAGATTCCACTCCTTATACCCTTGGAGAAAACATGATTACAGATGCATGGAGCGTTTGCTCTCCAGCCCCCAAAGAAATAACATGCCTGTTGATTTCATGCTATTGAAGAACACAGCACATTTGCAGAATGTGCTATCAAAAAGCCTGTGTGCATCTATGCAGTTGTACCACCTCAGCAGATTAAAGGGGCGCTGCCAGGACTGAGGTTAAGGATTGATCTGCTTTGACACAAAGTCCCAGAAGGAAGAGTTCTAACCTTTAGGATTCTTTCTGTCTATTTGCTTTCTTCAAACTGATTGCAGCTGTCACCAGAAATAAAACCAATATAAACAAAATAAAACTCTTTACTGCTTATGGTTAGGCAGCAATAAATAAAACATTGTTTAAGTCCAGTACAAGGTTTTCTTATGTTCCTGTACTTAATTGCTGGTGGCATTTTAATGACTTTTATTTTTAATTGGATTTTTTTTTTTTTTTTGTGAGACCTGGATGAATGGAGAAGATGCAGGAATGTGTCACGTAACAGGCTCTCTATTTTTAGTGTTTGTTGTTGACTTGTCAGATGGCAGACAGAACTTACAAAGTGAGTCTTCGGGTCCACTGTGCTGTGATTATTATTTATACAGGATCCAAAGTGCACAGAGCACCCCTTTGGGCATATAAAAGTTCATGCTTCAAGGAGCTTACAGCCTTCAGGGCTAATAGTATTATGTCCAGTGACATCTAAGCTGTATATATTTCAAAGCTGCTTTTTCTCCTTTCATAATTTTATTGAGTTTCTTACCCTAGCTAATCGTTGCAAGTTCTGGAGTATTGTGATGAGGAAGGGATTTTCAATTTCCATTTGCAACACCAAACCAAACCATTTTGTCTTTAGAGAAGTGCACAGAAATGCGTCCAGAACACAGCACAGTAGTTCAAAGGCCAAATAAACAGAAAAAAGAAAGGTGGTTTGTTGTGGTTTATCTCAATGAAGTTGGCTAAGAAGATAATGAGGTTTCTAAGATTCCTCATTAGTCATGGGGAGGAAGGACGAGAAGGTATGTGATTGTGAAACTTGGGCAGTTGCTTCTAGTTTTCTTGTCTGGCCATTAAATTTGTGATATTTTTATTATAACGCATTTTTTGGATGTGCTGTTGTCAATTATGTCCTCTTCCTAAGAGTAAGGTCCAAGCTGGTTCTGTGCTTCTCGCAACAGTGTGTTCCCTGTTGGGCACAAGGTCCCTTCTCAGGGTTTTCTTCTTTTGTCTCTACTCCTTTCTGAATATATTGATACACAGCCATAATGTGATTAAACTCTGCTATTCCTCATGACATTGAGGTCATCAGCAGGCAGTAAAGTACAGAGAAGCTCTTTTGCATTTGATGTGTTGCCCACTGGGAGCAGTCCATCCGGAAACGATCAACACTGCTCAGGTTCTGAAGCTGACTGGTGGGGAAAAAAAAGAGAAATGTACCCCATGAATGAGATACATGCCAGTATTTATCTCCCAAAAGTAAATTGGCAAGTAACTTAAATAATGGAACATGTTCCCAGAAATTGTGAGTTATTCCTTCAATACCTCTGAAGAGGCAAAAGGTTAAAAAAAAAATGCATTATTGGTTGTAAATTCCTTGGCTGTGTGCAAGTAAGGGACTGAAGTGATGGGTTTAATTTGGAAGTTGTGGAGCTCAACAGAGTTAATCCTTCCTGCTGCCTTCCCCTCCTCTCTCTGGTCTGGATCTCACCGTTGCAGAGGATGTGGACTGGGAGATAGAAGGAATGCTGCAAGTTTTGGTCTGGCACTGCATGCAATTACATTGTCAAAAACTGGTGATTTTTTCTATATCCTCTCACAAAGCTTTTTTCCCTTTCTTTTGTCCAAGTGACACTAAATTAAATAAACTTAAAAATATGAATAGTGATGAGATGCCAAAGCCCAGCTCCATTAGGGCTGAAAGGGGTCCAGCTTCACTGACTGCAGTGGCAGCATCAGATTTATGGCCATATCAGTAAGGAATGAACTGGTCCAAGATAACTTCTGTTTATCACAGCCGTTTTCCTCTATGAAAGCAGAAGTAGATGGAGAAAAATCAGCTCTGTGTTTTTAGGCTTTGCAGGGCTGATAATGTGGCTAATGTTTTACAGAATTCAAAGGACACTTTCTTTTGATTTAACGTTCCTCACTTTATTTTATTACACCATGTATTTTGGAATTTGGTGAAGATCCATTGTAAATGTGAGAACTAAGCAGATAGTTAGATAACATCTTTTTTTTTTTCTCTTTAGAAGATTAAACTGAGACTGTTCTGCCTGATGCCAGAGTAGATGTAACCAATCCTGTATCCTTTGCATGTAGGTCAGTCAGAGGGACAATTCAGCACTGGATCCCATTATCCATGGGTTGAAGGGCGTCGTACATCACGGTAAGTAGCTGTTTAAACTTTCTTCTTGCTGGGAAGGGGAGAAGGGCATGAATATTGTCCTTACGTGATCAGGTCACCCCTGGAAGGACACAGTGAGCCTACACATTCCTCATTCACTGATGTTTAAGGGCATCACAGCCATTATTTGATTGGTAAAGATCAGAGTCATTTGTTACCTGAAAATGGTTTGGGGTTAACAGTAAACAATTTGTTTCTTTTCAGTCAGTGCTCTAGAATGCGTAAGTTATCAATCAAAACCTGCTGCAATATATCATTCATATTAGTACTTCGAAGGCAGGGTGGATGCTTCCCTCTGTTATTTATCTTCTGTTTGCTCTAAAAATACTCCTCTCTGAAGTTTCTATTTGTTTATAAATTATTTGTCTTTCAAATTTAGGGAGCTGATAATGAAACAGAAAATTAACTATCTATGAAAATTAATTAAACTTTGCAGCAGATGAACATCTTTCTAATGCTGACATAAATACGATCATTCAGCTGTTCTGATGCATATACCTATTATCCTTGAACTTATAGCAGGTACTGAAATAAATATTAATATATTTTATACTTTTATAACCAATTTTTTACTTAGGAATTTTCCTGAAGCCTTACCACAGGTAATGCATCATCAGCAATGACATCAAGATGCTCTGGTTCCCAAAGTACTCTTGTCAGGTTTTAATATAATGATTTGTAAAGTTTTAATAATCTCATTGTAATTCAAAAGGCATCTGCTGGAATGGTGCTCGGTACAATAATAAATCTCCATCCCATCTATAGTGCTGTGATAAAACATCTTTGCACCTTTTCCGAGGATTGTCTTTAGACATTAGCTAGTGCTGTAGAGCTTAACAAACATTTTTTTTCTCTTGACTGCAAACCTAAAACTAGTTGACACTCTTGGATTAAAACAAATAGGATTTTGGATTAATTGTTCTACTTTCAGTATCATTTAACATTGCAACTGGGAAGGCCGATAAATCTGAACAAGTAAAAAATGGGTTAAATGATAACATACCATAAAGTCCTTCATTTAGAGAATTTTCCTTAGGTTTTGCTGTTTATAAATTGCGGTGTTCTGCCGTGAAATAAAAACAACACACTGATCTGAAAAAGTGGTGTTGTTTTCCACAAAAATAGGTGTTATTACCTCGCTCCCACTGGGTAACAAAACAGGCTCACAAAAGCGAAACAAGGACAAGTTGGGCTGCAAGGATTCTTCAGTGGCTAAGTCATTTGACTCTGCAGCCAAGCTGCCATTTAACTGGACTAGGATCTCTTTTTAGTTTTTTTACCTGCTTTCTATTTCAGGTAAATAAACCTCTACAAGTATGATGGTGTTTTAACCATCTCATCGGGCTTTTCTGCTCCTTCTCTTGCTTCTCACTCCGCAGCCAAAATAGCCACTTGTGGATAATCACAGCATTGTCTCCTAAGAGGATTATCCCATTCCCAAAAATAATTGTTTGGGTAGGATGTGACTCGGTCCTGAGGCTGTGATTCCCTAACCACATAATGATCAGTCCATCTTGGTGCTGTCTCCCCGCAGAAAATCTGGGTGGATGAAAGGCATTTATTTTTGTTTTGCGCACAATGCACAGAAGTCTGCTCGTGTTTCAAGTAAAGGAAATCGCTTGATATATTTCAATAGCTTGTTTCCTTTTCAAAACATTAAGGAAGAAAAAGAGGAAAATCATGCTTTCCTTCCTGTTTCAAAGGCCCTGATTAAAGGCCTTTTCTAAGGCTCTTTTGGTGGCTAGAGTAAAGGAATTTCCTCCTGCAAAGCAGTTGTTCAAAGAGATCGTTCTCTTTAACTTAAATATTGATGGAATGCTTCAGTGAACAATTTTCATATCATATCCCTCTTTTAATGTTATTATATAGAATAATAGTAAAGATGTGAGTTTTTATTCCAGACGCTTGCATTTTTCTTGATGTGATTTACTTACATCTTACATGATCACATTTTTATGAATTTATCTGAAAAGCTTCTTGCTGCCTTCCATTTGGCTGCATTCAACTGGGACCCTAAGGCAACATGGACTTTTTGGCTGAAATACAGTGGAAAACTCTTGTGGTTTTTTGATAGAGTGGTTGGATCAAGCAGGGATCCAACAAAAGGAAGCAAAATTAAAACCTTAAGTTTCTTTGCATTTTATAACATTTCCATGCCCATGTTAGTTTTAGGTGGTTGTCACAATACAGAGGCACTTGCCTATAATGTAAAAATCAAGTAGACATATGAATTGAGGTAAATACCTTGCTTTCAAATTAGACAATAGTCACATATCCTGTGCTGGCTGGAGAGATCACCAGCCTTCCAGCTTTAGTCCTCCCATGTGCCTCATCTCAACAAGATTTCCTCTCTGTCCATCCTTCTTCAGTTGTGCTCAACAGTCACTCGTTCCTCGCAATCACTGAGTGTTCAAAGAGGAAATCACCCACCCACACAAACACTCATCATTATCCTCATTTCTTCATTTACTAGAAGGCCTGGTCCTACATGGGGACTCTACTCTGTGTAAGGCTCCCACACTGTCCCCATAAGGGTGATTTTCAGATAGATGTAGGGATGGTACTCATGAGTGTATGAGCTGTGTTTGAATTTTTCTTGCATAGCTTTTCATCTTTTTTTCTTTGAAGTTCTTGTACTCTTACAGTGCCCTTCCAGGGGTAAGTGAACAATTCCAGAGTCAGAAGGACTTTCTGTAGAAGTGAAAGCAATTCTTGCTTGAGATTTCGTCTGGGATTTGAATTACTCGCTAATTTGATGGAACATAAATAATTGTGCCCTTCACAGTGTCACCAGCTTAGTAGTAATGATAGAGACACACACACATAAAAATCAATACAGGCTTAGTCGCTACTTAGTTCACTTTGTTTCCTCATCTCCAGGCATAATTTTGCAGAATCTTAAGTGCCACGTTAGGCTTAATTTTACATGAGCAACCATAAAATGTTCCTTAGCTGGAAGGAAAACCATGGTATACCAAACTGCCTAACAGTGTCTGGATCAATGATAATGCTTTGGGGTTTGCCCCGTGTCTTCCTGCTCAACAGTACGTTCCCACATGGCCAACGGTCCCCAACTCCCGCATCCGCCCTCGGAGAGCATTGTAACGGCACAGGAACGCCGAGGAGGCTCTTGTAAGAGCTGTCAGATGCTTGTTGCTGATTTTAAAACTGCTCTCAGTTTTGTGCTCTGCCAAGGATTTGTCACACCTCCCGCCAGCCAGGTGCCCGCTATTCTCACTCCTGCTTTCCCTGCCGCGGAGCACGCGGCAAGTGCGTCTGCCACGGAGCCCGCCCGGGACTGACAGCTGGGAGCAGGCAACCCTCTCTGGAGAAAGGGTGGGGTATGGGCAGGTGGGATATGAATTTTCTGATGCTGACTTGCCAGTGTCTTTCAGCTCTGATCACTGGGGGTCTTTTTTAGCTCTTCTTCAAATGCTTTTCTCATCATGAAAGCTGGTGGGAAGGGTCTCCAGCAATGCTGGTGCTGGTAGAATGATTCATGTCATTAGCTGACATTGGACCATTAGGTAATAAAGTCACTAGTGCCTGGCTGTGCTTACACCATACCTGGGGCAGTCTTTGTGCTGCAAATCAGACTGCTCTGCCTCTGTTTTGCTGCCGATGTGCTCGGCTGGATGACCTGCCCTGAGCCCCTCACTGCTCCTTGTTCTTCCTTGTGATGCTGAGGAGCATGGGGCAGGAAGGAGCTGCTCTTGTGCAAGGGCTGAGGAGGCTCATGAGGCCTCAAAAAGAATGACTGTGCCCTTGTGGTAATAGGGGACTGTGAAATACCAGGTTATGTGTATAGTTGATTTGCATTAAAATGGCTACTAAAGCTTTTGTCTACCACACACTTCAGCAAGGTCTCAGAGGAGCACCAGGCAGAATGGAGCTATTGCACAGAAACATTGCTTTTTCCCACCTTTGCTGCCTTTGATTTGACCTTTTCGGTACCGTTTTGTATGTAAGCCTCTTAGAGAAGCCTTTTCCTTTTCCTTTTTCTTACCAGCTGCCTGCAAAGCATTAAAATAAGTCTTCTTCCTCGATGTCAGTCCTGGGGACAGCACCCAGTGCTGGAGGCTGTGTGCATTTGCCCTCTCCTAGCCTGGGCATGGGTGCTCTGCACAGGACCACAGTCCTGTTTTACTGTGCAGGCAAAGGGTGTCAGAGGGAACAGCAGCCCACACTACCCCAGGCCCCTGGAAAATCTTTCAGGGTGATGCAAACCATGTTTTGTCACTCTGTCCTGTTCCCTGTGGCTGACATCAAGAATCTACACAGATCAGCAGAAAATTATTAGCAGAGCACAGATAAATTACCACAGCAGAAAAGGCTCTATTAATGTCACAAAAATGGGGCTCTCATTCCCTTCCTTGTCAAAAGTGAGCACTGAAAATCAAAGTGCTGCCAGATCAAAAGCCCAGGTACAAAGTGAATTGATGGCATCTGTTGCTTGTTTGTGAACGGGAGGAGAGGAACCTTTGTTTATTTAAAAGAGAATGTGGAAAAAAGTCTTCCCTTTTTTCTTCTGCTTTTATATTATTAAAAAGCCATAACTGAAACTCAGCATGGAGCAGAGTGTAGCCTTGGATCTCCCTCGAGGTGGGCAAGAAGTGTTCAGGCAAGTGACCACAAAAGTTTCAGGGCCTGCTGGGAACACCCTACCAAAATACAGCAGAAATAGAATTGCTCTAATAATGAAAAAAGATGGAGAATAAATATGTTCACATCTCTCCAGTTGTCCTAGGTGAAAAAATCAGTGAATAACCTGTTAAAATAAACCAGCACTAAGAAAGAAGCAATCTAGACAGTGTTAGTTGTCCTGTGGATCTATCACACCAGAAAGCATAATAACAAGAAAATACCATTAGCACCACGACAGGTTTTTTCTTTTGTTTTTAACTTTAGCCATAACACCACCTGACAAGCTGTTTGCCTTCTGCACCATAAATCCAGGGGTTGTAGAGAAGAAAGGTGAGGGA